CAAAACTCGGGGAGAAAAAAGACAAGCCCCCACAACCACCCAAAAAAAAAAAAAAAAAAAAAAAAAAGGCTGAAAATCCCCTTTTAACAGAGCCACTGAGCTGGGGCAGGATCCATCACCCTGGGGCTTTTTGGGGAGGGGGATGCCGGGGCAGGACCCCCCCTAAGGCCAAACCCTGCAGCGGCATCATCTCTGCTGCTCAGCCCTGGCCCCAATTAGGCCAGCGCCGAGGCCGGCAGTGCTAATTAGGAGCTGGCAGGCACTGGGATTCCTCTTTCCTACAAAAAAACATCCTCCAGAAAACACCGGCTTTCCTACTGCAGATGGAGGCTGCCAAGCCCCCCAAAAAGTTCCTTGCTGGGATGGGGGAGACCTAAGCATGGACCAAAAAATGCCCCCCCAGCCCATCACGCTGCCAGGCATGGCTGGCTCCTGCCCAAATCATTAACCCGCTGTCAAATATTTGTCTAAGCGGCAACAGCTTTTAAAGGAAAGAGCCAGAAAATGGGTGCACACCCCAGGCATGATCGTTGTCCAAGTCTTTTCCGCGGCTCAGGGGGGTTTTAATACGCCTACGCGGCACATGCACGGATGGCGAGCAACTGCAATGAGTTTCTTGGGTTGCTGCCAGCGGAAAAAAGCAGGGGTGGTTGTTAAAGGGAGGGTTTGCATCTAAGGGAGTTTGGGATAAACCCACTAAGAAGCCATAACCCCCCCAGATGCACAACACTGGAAGGTTTTGGAAGTAAAAGGCAATTTTGGACTCTTTTTAGCTGCAACGTGGCGGGGACGCCAAGCAGGATGGGCTGATCCCCCTTCCCCTGCTCCCGCCGCGCTCCGTCCCACGGGGCTTTTGAAAGGCTAAAGGAAATCGGCTATCACGTGCTCGTGGTATTTTTGTTCCCGGTGAAAGCGGGGAAAATCCCTTTCCGGCTCCCCAGCCCAGCCTGGGTCCTGCCTGCCTCATCCCGGCCCCACCGGCATCTGGAGCGCGTTTTGTAGGGCCCCATCCCAGGGCCTCCCAAAGCTGCCCCCGACCGCAGGCGGGGAAAAAAACATCCTCCAGCCCAGCTCACACGCGTTAAAGCATCCTTAAATACCAGTGGCTTATTTGAGTCATTGCTTTCCTAGCAGGGGCTGGCGGCTATTTCCATCTGTGCTGGTCCTTATAGACCCCAGCATCCATAGTATCCCAGCATTAACCATTCCCTCCCTGCTGGCTCCCGAAGTCAAAACCAACCTGCCTCCACCAAATAAAACCCCGCCGGCCAGGGGCATTGCAGGGGCTCTTTGCACCAGGTTTTGATGTTTCCTTCTTAAAATAACAGAGGATTTCAGGATTTCTTCCATGGTGAGCAAGCCCGGCTACTCAGCGATACCATTAAATACCCTCTGGTTCCCAGATTCATCTCCTGGTCTCCTTAATTGTCTCCTGAAGACCATGTCCTCATAGAATCAGAATCACAGAATCGTTTAGGTTGGAAAAGACCTTTAAGATCGTCAAGCCCAACTGTTAACCTGGTGCTGCCAAGTCCACCGCTAAACCATGTCCCTAAGCACCACATCTATATGTCTTTTAACTACTCATCAAACATGAGTTTCTCTTTGACTGCAAGAGATAATGAAGGAAGGCTATTAAAAGGTCCCGGCAAATCACTTTGCTGCTTTTACAGTTGGATGATTTCTCCGATCATATAATCTTTAATTTCAGGATGTATAATCTTTAATTTCAGGATGCAATGTGACAGCCCTGGGGCCTGGAGGATGCCTCCCCCTTCCCCATCGGCCATAATGCTTCCAGGCACATCCCTGCCTGGCTTTTTTACATCTTGTCGGCTTTGTTTGCTCAGTTCTAAGATATCCTGAGGTTGTTGACACCAATTTCCTTGCTGGTAAATGACAGGGTGGGCGTGGGAAGGAGCCGTCACCGGGAGATGGGATGTCACCCTGCTTGGGGCAGGGAGAGAAGGGGAGCAGAGGCTGCTCCTCCTGGGGATGCTGGGGCTGAAAATTCCCCCGGGAGTCCCCAGCAAACGCACCCCTGGGTGTCCGGGTGCCACCCGTCCCACGGCCCCCGTGCAGGGACACCACCTCTGCCACCGCCAAACCATTGACCAGGTGCCGGAGCAGCACCCGGCAGAAAGAAATGCCGTTCGGTGATTTGCCTTACCCAGCGGTGTCAGGCTAGGGTTCAGCGAGTGGGATTACTACAAAAATTCATAAAACTGCTCAGATTTGCTTTTTTCCATGGCCCAAGTGGCTGCCCAAGGTTGCGGCCCCCCCCAGGCGCTGCTTTAGCTGGGGAGCGTGCCGAAGAGCGCGCCCGCTCGCCTCCGCCGGGGCCGTCACCTCGAGTTAGCTCGCTGCTCCGCGGGGAACAGCGAGTGGGAATCTGCCAGGGGCAGCGCAGGAGGGAACGATGCTCCCGTCCTTCTGCATTACTTGGCTTCCAAAGCCAAACCGAGACCCGGCGAGAAAAGCACGGTTAATTAAAAAGGTCCATTCCTGCGTCGCCCATCCAGAGGGATCATATTTTCCCCTTGATTTTTTTTCCCCTCCCTGGAAGCGGGATGGGAGAGGGAACAAGGAGTGAATTCAGTGTTGGTGTAAGGATGCTTCTCCTTGCCATTAACCGATGCCATGAAGGATTGACAACCGGCAGTTGTCCAGGCACCAGGTATTAACAGCAGAAGCCAATTTCATGGGTTAAGCCATCGCCGCACCCTGACAGCAGCGAGGACCCGGTAACTTATTCTTCATCCTTTTAATTAATCATATTCTTATCAGCCAGCTCAATCAGCTAATGGAGCCAAGTTAATTGGGTTTCCCATGCTTTAAACCCTCCTCGCACCCCTGGCTGGTAACAGCAGCAATTTCAGCATTTCCTCGGGCCCAGCATCCGGAGGGGTTATTTCAGGCTCATCCCTCAGCACTGGGACAGGGCCAGGAAATAAGAGTGCGGGAGGCCAAATCCCCAGCGTGGAGCTGAGATGGAGCCAGTCACCACCGAGGCCATTTCCTATGGGATTTGGGAGTGCAGGACAGGTCCCAGCAGTGGGAAAGCTCAGAAAGGGATGCTCCCACCCTTGCCAGTGGATGGGGCTTGCAGAGACCGGTCCAGCAGCATCCCAAGCCCCTCGGCTCGACCGCAGCACAGCAGGGACCCCGTGGGCACCTGCCCCAGCCCGAACACCCTGCGCTGCCCGATGGGGCAATGCTGGGTGTGGGGGCTTTGGCTGCAGAGCCCATCTGGCCATCCTCCCCCCGCCAAAACACACAGTGGCAGAAGCAGCCGAGGGAGCAGTCCGCCCCCGCAGCTCACATGCACAGACTCATTGGGACAGGCGAGCCATGTGCACCAGCCCACACGGCTGATGCCCCCGTCCCCAAGAAGGGATGCTGCTCGGCCATCTGCCAGCGCCGCTTCCTCCGACTCTCCCAGCCCCCCGCAGCCCCCCGGCTCTCCCCAGGCTGCTGCAGGGAAAAAGGGACCCCCAGCCCCTGCGCCTGCGCTCCAGGGGTTTGATAAGCCCAAGGCCACGCTCGCTGCATGGCCTCGTTACACCCAGCTCCCTGTGCCGGGAGCAGCAGCCTCATCCCCAAGGCAGGACAGTAGAGGAGGGGAGGGGGACTCGCTGCTCAGCCTGATACAGAGGGGAGCCTGAACTCCTGCAGAGCTGGTCAGAGCCGAGGGGCAGACCCAGCCGTGCTGCCCTGCACCCCCAGGCACCCGTCCCAAAGCCCCCAGTTTGTACCAACTGCCCCACCTGCTAGGTACCACCGAGCTGGGTACCATCAAGCCACCAGATCGGGTACCACCAGGTCAGGTACCACTTGGGTTGGGTACCACCAAGCCACTGGGTTAGGTGCCAGTGGGTAGGGTACCACCGAACCACTGGGTCACGAACCACCAGGTAAAGTACCACCGAACCACCGAGTCGCATACCACCAAGTTGGGTACCACCGAGCCAATGGGTTGGGTGTGACCAGGTCAGGTACCACCGCATCAGGCACCACTGAGCTGGCTCCCATCAAGTGGCCACGCTTGAGGCCGGCTAGCAGGTGGGGTGCTGGCGAGCCTCTGGCGGAGCAGAAGATGCAGAGCCCGGGGCTCACCCCCCCCCGCTGCCTCCTCCCCCCC